AAGTTGGAAATCTCTCGTCGCATACTACTCGTCCGGGTATTCGATCCGTTCAATCCTTCCATATCGCCCTTTCCCTTTTCGTCCTAACGATTGCGATCGAGGCAGCTGCTTAAACGGGAGAAAGTTCAATTTTAGGGGGTAAAATCGACGTATTCCTCCAAATTTATGCGAGAAGAAAAGAAATGAGAAAAAAATTTACCAGAAATAAACTCCCCTTCATTTCGAGAAAGATATCTGAAGAATCGAAAATATTTATTTCATGAACACACTAGTAGCATATTTCCCTAAATTCTTTTATTTAAATAAAAGTTTTTAGCAAAATATATATTTGTTATTTGGAATTTTTTCACAATGTAAACTTATGTATATTGGTACAAGTGAATATGTTATCAGTATCCATCGAATAAATATTTCTTATTTTTTAGATATTTCTTTTCTCAGTATAGAGTTTGTCATTAGAATTTATCATGAAATTCTCATTTAAATCGAGAATAGAATTTCGAGTAGTTTGAATAAACGAGTCATTCTTTCGAGAATATTATTTGCGACACTCATCGGGTTGAACCACGCAGAACAATTGAGTTTTTTCTTGTTTGAATTCTATTCCTTCTCAGACAGCACACATCACTAAAAGACATTTTAACGACATTCAAAAGACACCCCCGAGAAACAGGACGTTTTCCCAATGTCTTTGAGACATCTTTTGGTAGATTATGCTGTCTGAGTTGTAATCTCATGTCACATGTATGCATGGGAAGATCTTATTTATAGTCATTTGTTTCATTTGTACCGTTGTGGATTTCCTCTTTGTTGCACGCCGACTTGTAAAGTCTGCGAAGAGTCTGCGACCCTCAAAGTAGTTCGCGAGTTACACTTTTGACTCCATCCCGACCCTTTATTTTTCACGAGATCGTGCCGCGCGTTTCGCGAGTTGCGCATTCGCATTTCCGAGTCTGTTATTTAGATATCGAGTCTCTGCTCAAGTGGCATGCACGCGAATAATTTTACGAGAGGCAGACGGAGGAGAGGGGCAAAGAGAGAGAGAGAGAGAGAGAGAGAGATTGCGGAGAAGAAGCTTTCGCTTTACATGCGCATCGCTCGTAAACGCGAAACGACGTAAGCACCGCGTAGCTAGAATGCTAAATAACGATGCGCGCGTTTGCCCCGTAAAAATGCGAAGCTCTTTGCGGCGTTCGCTCACCGCTCGCTTCTCGCGGAAAGGTTAAAAACTGCATCTTCGACTTCTTCGCACCGTCATTATGCAATTTCGCCTCGCGTAGCAATAGCAACTTTTAATCTGCCTGTGCTCTTCCTCCACCACCTCCTTCTCCTTCTCTTTGGAGTGAACGTTTCATCGAAATGCCTCCGCTCTAAGAGTCAGTTACCTGACTGACAGCGAGTCCGTTTTTAGCGCAATGAGTGTCAAGTGAGAGAAAGAAGAAAGAGATAGCTGATGACACTCGCGCGATCACGCACGATGCCGCCCGGCGGAGTCGCCGATTTCGACTTCCACGACGATGACAGATCCTTTCGCGAAGTGTCTGCGCGACGACAGATGCGCGTCTTGTGTCATAGGTATCGAGTACACTTGGCGCGACGGCTGACAAGATAATTCAACGCCGGGTAATGGAACGACATTGCGCAAGTGGCCGGAGAAACCCGCTAAAATCGAATGTGCCGTGTATAAACACGGCTCAGTTCCCTCCTACATAACAATGTTACGAAGTTACGCTCCCGTCTACCTGAGCGGGCGCCTTTTTTGCCCGAATGAGCGACGAAAGCCCCGCGGTCGTGTGCAACATCGGGCTTACGTGCGACGGGAAACTTCGCGCGAAGTGCCATCGTCGTTAGAGTCGGATATCGTTGAATATTCTAATTATAGTGCCCCTAATGCCTGTCGCCGCATAAATCGTGGTGATTTGGCAGAAGCCGTGGCAGCTTTGGAAATATGTTTTTCTCAGAAGCTTAATTAGCTGCTTAACACTTGAGCAAGAGTATGATTTTATTTCGTTAAAACCAAACTTAATGCAACAAAATTTGTTCCCTCCATGCACATATCACAATCACAAATAATTCAATCGATTGATAAAATTAATTATTCATCAAAGTCACAAACAGTACAAACAGTCACAAAGCTTGATTAATAATTAAGTTCAACAGTCGATTAAATTACTTATGATTTCTTATATATGACGACTAATTATAATTTTGATTATTGGTTTGCCGATTATTTTAATACAAGAAAATTTTCATCGAATAATGTACAATTCTGATGATCAGCATCGCGATACAACAACACCTCGTTAAATTTCATACATGTAATCAGTTATGTCTACAAAAGATTAGTTCTGCCATCGATAGAGAACCGATGAAATGAGGTAAAAAAAAGTAAAAAAAAAGTGAAAAAAGGTGAATACACGTATTTCAAATAACTTTTCTCTACCGTATTTTTAGTAACGAAAAAAACTCGATTGCCTCTGCTGATCTTTTAAACTATTAAGGGGAACCAAGCCAATATGCGTTGACGTGTGAAGTTAACGCGTTAATTGGATATTTATCGTTGATTTTTCGTGATATATAGATTTTAGAAGTCGATTCTTTTCTATTACGCCCTTATTCTTCGCGTTATTCGTCGGCGGTAGTTTTAATGGTGCAAATTTTGCTCCTTCACTTTGAATTGTCCGTAATTAAAAAGAATGATGATACACCAATTAACAGCCGCGATAAAGACTGCGCGCGGCTGATTGGAGGGATATAATAGATGGCTACGAAAAGCTGGGCGTGTGCGTATGCGAAAATTGCGAGCGCGCGAGAGGACTCGCAGGGATATAAACTCGCGTTGATATAATCGCCCTAACGACCTATCGTACATCATACGCGCGCGATGTCGAGCGTTAACAAGAAAAAATCACCTAAGTGCGATGCACATCGATCGCGAGAGGAATCTCAAGGAAAAAGTGAGCGAGTGCACCGCGCGCATCTCAAAGGTTAAGGCACCGCGTGTGTTCGCAACGTGTTTGAACTTTGCATTCGTTTATGCATCTTTGTAGAAACACACGCGCGCGAACGAATAATGCGCGCAGGTCGAAATTTTTGAGCTCGGCTGAAATTTCACACGCGAATCTCGGCATCTCCGATCGATATTCCGCTGTGTCGCATCGATACTTTGTCTCAAGTAACTCGGACATTATCGCTTGAACACAAATGATCACTCAAGTTATAATTACAATGCGGTCAGAAGCGAGCGATGTAAATTACGGATAACGAGAAGGACGCGGGGAAAGTGTGGCGCGGCGCGAGCGAAATTCTCACGCCTCCTTTTTCCGGCCTGCAGCGCGGAAAGTTTTCAAGAAAGCGCTCCTTTGTAGTAGACACCTCGGTCTATAATAAGGTTCGAACCGGTATCAACGAGTGGCATTTCAGGTAATATGCCGACGATAGCACTGCTATCTATAAAAGGAGGATGCGGTGAATAAGCACTCGTCAGTAGTCCCGTGCACGCAATATCTGGCAAACGAAGCAGTTGTTGTAGCGAGAGGGTTTGCCTGCCGATTTAAGTCAAAAAGTGCGTTTTTGCAACCGCAGCCTCCTCACTTCGATAATCGCCCGAGATTGGCGGGGTGTCGCGAGTCTCGCCACTATTTCGAGCGTAATTCTTACTTGTCCGGAATTTCTCGATCTCAAACTGTGGCTGTGATTTTCGTAGAAAAGATAATCGCTTCCCATCAAACGAGTGAAAATGTCAGAACGCTTACTCGCCGCGAGATGTCTAATGCTTGTTTTCACCGACGTCGATTAAACCTCAGCCTAAGTTTACGTCTCCTGTCTGAGTGGAGTTTAAACTCAGTTTAAGATTTAATCGACGTTGGTGTAGAACCGGCATAAGGCCCGCATTAATAATCGTCGTCTGAAACTTGACTCATGTGAGATACTCAGATCTTTATTCAGACTTGGATCCAAGTGTTCCAGTTGAATTATGTGATACCTGTGACATTTATATTTGTAATCACGCGATTTAACCGAAGAAGTGTGTTGGCATTAATAAAAAAATGTTCTTTTATTAAAGTAATCGGCGCGAATTAATAATCAATATTAATTCGATTGACATACTGATTAATTTTATCAATCTATTAAATTATATATTTGTAACTTTTTTATATATATTTGATTTGCCGATTATTTTAATCAGAGAAAATATTACGTCCAAGACTGCTGAGAAATTTTCATCTAACACTGAATTAAAATCTGAGTATCTCACTTGACACTTGAATTTCAAATAATAATTATGAACATGGATGTAAAAATTCGTTTTAACAGTCGTTAATTAAAACTTGTTTCACTTGAGACTTGTTTCTCTGTGAGACATTCAGATTTGAATTCAAAGTTAGATGTGAGTTTTTCTGTTGAATCGCAATTACAATTATAATGTGTCATTTTGACTCAATTAAAAAATGTTGAGTCTAAGAAACTTTTTTGAAGATATGCAAACAGGCTCTGTTAACATTCAAACTAAAGAAAAAGAATTAACAGCTGTAAGAACCATTCGCGGATGTTTAGCGCAGACTGAAATTTATACTGCGGAAGGATAACAATGTTTAACAGTGTCTGTACGTGACTGCGATTTGCGACCTATAATGCGCGGTGCCTTCTTTTTGGATTTCCAATTTTTTAATTAAGTTACACGTGAAATACACTCAAATCCAATTCTAAATTTATTCAAATCTGAGTATATAGACGGACTCTCTGAGCGACGACCATTCACAATAAGATTTAAATTTCACTAACGCCTCATTCTCCGTACCGCAAATCGCGCGATAATGATCCCTAATTACACGACATGAAGCACCCATCTCGAGAGCGATCCTCGACGCTGCGCAACGTCGTGAACTTTGACCACCGCGGTACACGGTCGTACATCACTTACACACATACACGCAGAGCGTGCTGCCGGCAGCCGAGCGTTAGACGAGTATCCCTAATCTATCTCCGATCCCGTTCAGGATGAATCCGCGCGCAATTATCTTGCTGAGCCTGGCGGCGGTAATATCGGCGGCGAACGAGCCGATAGCCATCATCAGGCAGGAGCAGGACATCAGTCCGGACGGCAGCTACTTCGCGCGGTGGGAGAGCGCCAACGGGATCACCTTCGAGGAGCAGGGCGTGCAGAAGAACTCCGGCCAGAAGGACAAGGAGGCCGAGGAGGTGCGCGGCTCGGCGGCGTGGACCGCGCCCGATGGACAGAAGATTAATATAGGATGGCTGGCCGACGAAAACGGCGCCACGTTCCAAGGCGCTCATCTGCCGACCCCGCCACCCGCGCCAGAAATTCCGCCCGTCATCCAGCGCGCCCTCGACTGGATAGCCGCTCATCCCTACAAGGAGGAGAGAAACAAAGTGTAACCACACCGACGCCACACCTTATCGCGCGAACACGTCGAACGTTTTCGCGCTTACGTTTCCTCTATCGCAACGTATGCCTCGGCATCTCATGTAAAAAGAAAGAGTTTGTATAAAGATTCAGTGTACCGAAGGGGAGAGAAGGTGTGATTTAATATCCGAATCCTCGTGACGCGAACTTGTGGTCGGGCGACGATCGAACACGCGCGGCTGATCGAGATAATCCTGACAGGATGCGCCTGACGCGACATGGAAATTTGTTTGAATAAAGATGAGACTCACTTTTTCACTCGTGTGGACTCGTTAAAACTGATACCCAATCGTTTAATGCGCGTTACGAGATCATTGAGAATAATCATCATTAACTAGCTGCAGTTGTACAAAAACGATCCTACGCGTTTCAAGAAAAATTAAAGTAAAAACTTTATAAATGATTTAAAAAGTGTAGACAGTACCGAAGTCTTCGTAATCGTTCAGAAAATCAAGGATGATCAATGTTCTTCTCTTTAAGGAGATGTCATACTTGAAAATTTCACCGGTGAATACCGGCGATTTTTTCTGCAAAGTTCACTGATGAATACCGGCGATTTTTGCTGCAAAGTTTTTCATGTTGATTGCACAGAATTATAAGTACTGAAAGCGCGCGCAATGACGAATGAAAGCATCGCTTAATATGTGACAAAAACGACAGCAATTTTTTTAATTGACATCTCGGACTGTCAGTTAGCGTAAATATGTTTCCTACTAGCATAATAGAAATAAAGCAACACACATATTTGTATAAGATTTACACACATTTATATAAAGATAATATGATCGTGTTAGTGACGATTGCTTCTACGTTATCAGCTTTTTTTACATTCGCCTACTTTAGCATTCCCTTAAAGGTTCATTGACAAGCTTAGCCCTTAAAAAAGGTGCAATTAGTAGAAAATAAAAACTGTTTTCTAATTAATTTTAAGCTCCCATGAGATCTTTTTTGTTTTATGTAGAAAGACGTATTCATTGACGAAAGAAAGAGAGAGACACAAAACCTTAAAAATCATAATTTTGTAGATTGGAGCTTGCATAATTATGTCCAGTTGTATTCTTGAAGGATATCACAGTATTGCGTTTACCTCGGTTATTCCGGTGTAACTTTCGCTTTAGAATTGCGCCACTTGCCGTTTACTTTTTACGGTGAAAAGAATTTTCGCCAACGCTATTGAAAATATATCGTTGCCACTCGACGGCACAGTCGCTTTTCGAACAGCTAAGCAATTAAAGTGGCTGTTTGCCCTCTTGCGACATGCCAGCGCTCTCGCCTCGCTTCTACTTTCGTAGAAAATTTAAGAGAGGGAGAATATGATTCTGAGAGAGCGGAACCGCTTGACATGTGAATAGCGAACTCGTCAAACTTGGGTGTGGACGCGTGGCGTTACACGGCAATAGAAAAGTCGGGGTCAGAAATGGTCACCGCGACGGAAATGACAGACGAGTGGTCATTACATAAGCGAGTGATAGCGAAAGTTCTCGCCGCCGCATTGTCAACCACGTCGTCTGAAAAACCGGAGACGGCAGCGGTCCGAGGAATGCGGCAATTAAGCTGAGGGTGCACCACTATGCGTCATAGAGGAGATCAATCATGATGCTAGCTTTGTTGAAAGCTAATATAACACGCTGCCAATAACGTGAATATTCTAAACTTGACGTCAAAGCACAAAAATAAATTGAATCGAAACAAAATTGATTTCTGAAGTCTGAAGTTTGGATCTTAAATGAATCTGATCAAAGATTTATATTTTAAGTTAAATTTAATTAAAGGTCTAGATTGTTTATAACGTATTGTTTATAACTACGTACAAATATATTGTTTATAAACATATTAATGAGCATTAGCAGTTAATATCAATCAATATTAAAGTGTATTATTAGATAACCATGATAGCAATTAACATTTCATAACATTTCATATAAAATTGATTTCTGAAGTCTGAAGTTTGGATCTTAAATGAATCTGATCAAAGATTTATATTTTAAGTTAAATTTAATTAAAGGTCTAGATTGTTTATAACGTATTGTTTATAACTACGTACAAATATATTGTTTATAAACATATTAATGAGCATTAGCAGTTAATATCAATCAATATTAAAGTGTATTATTAGATAACCATGATAGCAATTAACATTTCATAACATTTCATATAAAATTGATTTCTGAAGTCTGAAGTTTGGATCTTAAATGAATCTGATCAAAGATTTATATTTTAAGTTAAATTTAATTAAAGGTCTAGATTGTTTATAACGTATTGTTTATAACTACGTACAAATATATTGTTTATAAACATATTAATGAGCATTAGCAGTTAATATCAATCAATATTAAAGTGTATTATTAGATAACCATGATAGCAATTAACATTTCATAACATAAAATTGATTTCTGAAGTCTGAAGTTTGGATCTTAAATGAATCTGATCAAAGATTTATATTTTAAGTTAAATTTAATTAAAGGTCTAGATTGTTTATAACGTATTGTTTATAACTACAAATATATTGTTTTTAAACATATTAATGAGCATTAGCAGTTAATATCAATCAATATTAAAGTGTATTATTAGATAATCATGATAGCAATTAACATTTTATAACATTTCATATAAAATTGATTTCTGAAGTCTGAAGTTTGGATCTTAAATGAATCTGATCAAAGATTTATATTTTAAGTTAAATTTAATTAAAGGTCTAGATTGTTTATAACGTATTGTTTATAACTACAAATATATTGTTTTTAAACATATTAATGAGCATTAGCAGTTAATATCAATCAATATTAAAGTGTATTATTAGATAATCATGATAGCAATTAACATTTTATAACATTTCATATAAAATTGATTTCTGAAGTCTGAAGTTTGGATCTTAAATGAATCTGATCAAAGATTTATATTTTAAGTTAAATTTAATTAAAGGTCTAGATTGTTTATAACGTATTGTTTATAACTACGTATATATTGTTTTTAAACATATTAATGAGCATTAGCAGTTAATATCAATCAATATTAAAGTGTATTATTAGATAATCATGATAGCAATTAACATTTTATAACATTTCATATAAAATTGATTTCTGAAGTCTGAAGTTTGGATCTTAAATGAATCTGATCAAAGATTTATATTTTAAGTTAAATTTAATTAAAGGTCTAAATTGTTTATAACGTATTGTTTATAACTACGTACAAATATATTGTTTATAAACATATTAATGAGCATTAGCAGTTAATATCAATCAATATTAAAGTGTATTATTAGATAACCATGATAGCAATTAACATTTCATAACATAAAATTGATTTCTGAAGTCTGAAGTTTGGATCTTAAATGAATCTGATCAAAGATTTATATTTTAAGTTAAATTTAATTAAAGGTCTAGATTGTTTATAACGTATTGTTTATAACTACGTACAAATATATTGTTTATAAACATATTAATGAGCATTAGCAGTTAATATCAATCAATATTAAAGTGTATTATTAGATAGCCATGATAGCAATTAACATTTCATATCACTCAACTACGCGGTGCAAATTAATTCTTTCTTCTTCGCTTTCCTTGCAGTTTTAATTCACTAAGCTCCTTCGTTTCGCGTTGCCTCCTTTGGAAAAGAGTATCCTATAATTGCGCGAGACAATTGCGGTCGCCTCGTGAAAATAAGCAGTGATTGTGCTCGGGAATATTCGGCGCATGTCGATTATATTGCGCTAAATTGTTTACGAAGGTGCGCGGGCGCGCGCGCATGTGTGTGCGCGTGCGTGTGTTTATGTGTGTGCTCCTGCACCGCCGCGTTTAATTTGATAATTAATACCAAGCGGCCGCTTCATAATTCGGTTATAAATTCTGCGAATCATGTTTCTTGATTGCGGCAGTAATTTCGATTCGACGGCACGATCATAATCGGTATTTGTTGAATCGCGAACGCAAATAAGACTGCGATAGATAGAATTAATCGTGGCCGGGATAATCGAATTTATGGAACTATTAATAAACGTTACGAGTCGCCGGCGCGATATCACGCCGATGTGTATCGCCGATACGTGCATCCTGCGATGCATATTCAGATTAATATTTTGTCAAACGCGAAATTGTTATAACGTCTGTGAAATATAGTGGCGCAATAACGCTGCTGGGCATAGAAAGAGAGAAAAAAAGGAAGGGAGCGAGCGAGCGAGTGAGCGAGAGAGAGAGAGAGGGAGGAAGAGGAAGGAGAGAGAGGGCGATATTTGTTTTGCGCGATAAATACAATACGCGGGAAAGGCTCTCGCTTTCTCTAACCGCAAATACTAAAACGTATGTTAAGTAAGAAGACATGTGAGTATGCGGATATGCGCACGTTATCAGGAGAGATTAATAGTAATCTGATAATTGGCTTTCTGACAAATTATGCAATTAAACGGAACAAAGGAGAGCACCGATAATCGACTAGTCTTGTTTTTCGGTTAATTTAAAGCAGATTTGAGTCGAAAGGGTATATTCCTCATCACTCTCACGCTCTTCCGTGACAGTTTTCTATTTCCGTCTCGCTTTGATACCGAGTAAATCCATGTATCGACATTCAACGTCGACCAGAAGACGTAACATAAAGGATCGAAAATAGACAATAGCTAGGAAGTGTTTGACGAATCGTGAATGAGGAGTCAAATTCGCCGTGTCGAGAGTCACCGACGAATTCATCGACGAACAGTTGACAAAGAGAGAAAGAGTGAAGCCGCTTCTTCGCCGCGGCCTCGTGCATACAATTTCTACTGCTCGGGGATACACTTCGTAAGATTCGACCGCGAAACTTACGCGCTAGGAAGATTTATGTAAGTTAACGATTACGTGAGAGACTCCGTAACAAATTGAGTACACGACTCATGTGCTAAACGGCAACACACACGACGAATGTCGCACCCGCCCGCGGTGAAAGTTCAACGAGAGCGCCGCGAGGTACAATCGGTTCCGGTTCCTCCTCCGCCACCCCCACTGTCACCATCCCATACACAATAGCCAGCAATACCACCACCACCACCACCACCACCACCACCACCACCACCACCCTCGTAACTATCGGACGTCAACGTGTCGAATCGAATAGACGGTCTTTTAGAAAGTCCCTGGATAGATGGCCGAGCCACGGAAGAGACGTCGTGTCAAAGGTTATCCGCGATTATCACAGAGTCACGGTGACCCGTTTTAATCCAGGATCGCGCGCGTATCGCACCCTGCGTTCACGCACGATGAGTCTCGGAGAAATCGCTCGATCGTTAGAGGAGGTCAAGTAATGTCGATCGAACGATGTGAATTCTTTTCGACTGAAGTGATCGGCAAATCAGCAATCAAAATTAATCAGCCGTTATATATGTAATCACACGAATAATTTTATTGACTTAGGAAATTAATTATTAGTGTAGTCAGTCATACGAAAGCTTGATTAATAATTAATTATATCAGTCGATGAAGTTATTCGTGACTTTATTATGACGATCGATCGCTGCTGATTATTGATCTGCCGGTTATTTTAGCCGAAAAGAATTTTAATCAAAGATTATAATCAAGGAAAATTATAAGAAAAATTTTATTTTATAAAAGAAAATTTTGTAAAAGAGATTTTATTTAGAGAAGGTCTTAATCTAAGAATTTTAATGAAAGAAAATTTCAGTCGAAGGAAATTCTATAGAAAATCTTTAAAATTAAAAATTGAATAAGAAAGAATCGAATTTTTTAATTTGACTTTAATTTGATCAAAGAAGATGTTTCAATGCTCAACGCTGAAATCAGGACGCGCTAAAAGACCAGAGATGGAAACGCGCGTCGGCGTTGATTCGCATCTGTCGTGTGTCAGAACCTGTCACTTCGGCTTTAAGGATTCGATCGTGTCCGCTATCGTCCTCCGCAAGACAGCGAGTATCTTTGTACGGATCGAGTTTCGATCATCGTCGTGATCGATGTTTGCAATGTAAGGCGCTTGGTGTGAAAAGAGCTGTGAGAAAAAAAACGCGTCATGGCTGATTTGAATCTCTCGACGCGCGAGAGCGACGGCTTTTATCATAGATGAATTGATTTCATTTATTTATCACTTTATGTCACAAAGCGAAAAAAATACAAAAAAAATAAAGTAAAATAAAATATACTTTAATATTGATATTGACTCAATCGGTGAAATTTTCCAGTATCGTCAAAATATTAGAACAGGATTGTATTGACTCAAATAGTTTCATACTTTCTAGAACTTTTGAAGTTCTGAAGGTGGCTTATTCTGTTTGAACAAGTTTTCCTTTTCTTCACATCATCGTCAGAGCACCAGATAAGTCGTGGGCCTGCCAACGACATTCGATTAGCAAAAGACAATTTTCTTAATATTTTCATAATCACTCAAGAACGCGTTAACAAAAAAATATAGAGAGATGCGCAGTTTGCGTCATCGCGGCCGAAATGTCGGAATACGAGTACATTGCAGAGTCTCTCTCGCTCACACAGCAGCCTAATCGATATCGCTGTAATGGTCTTACTTGGGACAAATTCAATCATCGTAATAGCTACACCGATTAGGTCCGATCGTTAGTGAACGTCGTGAGTACGCGAAACAGTTGTTACCGTGGAGGCGGTTAGGCCCTACACAGAGAGAAAGAGAGAGAAAGAAACGTCGGAACCACGTCCGTTGCATCAAAGCGGCCGTAATGAAAAGTTAGCCCCGGTCCCCATATGACGCGCATTACGTAAGAAGTACGTCTTTGCCCACTTGGCGTGATTGATTAATGATAGCGAGCAAGGTCCGCCGTAATAAAGAGGCATGCGGCCGGCCGTGTTTACACCGATGTAATATCTTGCTGTAATAGTCACGCCGCGACTTTCTACCGCGATTCAGTGCGAGGTAATTGCGATCAGACCGATGTCTATCGTATCAACGAGCCCTTCGTCTTGGCCGCCGTGCCGTCAAAACGATCAATCCTGAGATACGACTGCGGACTGACGGACGATTGAAGAGCGTCACCTCCTTGATTTACGATTAATGAATATGAAATTATTTCGTCAGAGACGCGCGACCTCGTCTCGTGGAAACGCTAATGAATTCTTTATTCGCGGAACGATTACGCGAGTGTGACACCACCGACCGCAATGTCTCCCTCTCCCTCATCCTTCCTGGAACTCCGAACAGGAGGATCTCGAGTTGAACCTCGCGCTCTCCCAGGATTCGGGCGTATTAATAGAGCAACGACATCTCTCCTGGGATGCAACGTTTATTCTCAATGCACCGTGACATATACCCTGACGACAAGTCAATCACACGGTCGATCGTGGTACATGTACATGTGTGTGTGTGTGTGTGTTTGTGTATGTGGTGTGCTCGTGTTTTCTATATATATATCATCTATATATATCAAAATACACGATATAATATATAATAAAATATAATATATATATATATATGTATGTATATATATGCAGTATATCGTAGGCGTATAATAAATATTTACAACACAACTTGAACCAGAGCAATCCGTTCGTGGGCGAGGACTTTCGCGGTCGGCAGCAACACTTATCGTCGTCATCGTCGTCATCATCGTAATCGTTATCCGGCTCGATCGGTATGTACCGTAGATCGTCTTCCATTGTGGCGTGAATAATTACGTGAGATCGTGAGATCACATAGTGGACGGCGGCGCGTCGTTACACCTGGTTCTCGTCATCCTTGGACGGATGCGCCGCGTTCCACTCGAGGGCCCTCTGTATGAGCGCCGGGATTTCCGGGGTGGTGGGCAGGTGCGCGCCTACCGGCTGGAAGCCGTTCTTGTCGGCCACGTACGTCAGCGAGATCGACTGGCCGTCGTCGCTCGGGTAGCTGAAGGCGCCCTGCGCGGACATCGCCTCGTTCTCGCTGCCGGCGTCCTCTAGATGGCCCTCCTCCTCGGCCTTGATGCCGTTGCCGCTCTCGTAGCTCCACTTGTACGAGCCATCCGGGTTCGGGCCCTCCTGACTCTGGCTGACGATCGGGATCACGTCTTCGGCGGGGGCCGCTAAGGCGCAGACCGCCAGCGCGATCAAGGCTACCTGGGGAGGTCGCGAGAGCAAAGGATGCCGTCAGTTTCACGTGGAATCACGCTCGGTACGATCTAGGGAGAATTCGGGGCCGAGCAATCGCGACGACACGATTACTCGTCCAGCTCGAGATCTCGATCTCCATTTCTCTGTTTCTATTATACTTTGTTGTATGCACAAAATACCGGCACGTATATTTACGAAGTATCACAGAGTTGAGGTAGCGCACAAAGAGGACGAGGCGACAGCAATGAATGCTGCTGCTAGGCTACACCCCCGAGGTGTACAAAGCAACGCAGTACGACAGCGTAAAATAATAGATGCATACACAAAGAGGAGAAACGCAAAGGAAGGAAGTACAAAGGAAATACGGCAGGAACACAAAAGGGAGCAAATAAGAAAGAGAGAAAGGAACAATGGGAAGAAAAAATATGTTTACGTATAATAGTAAGGTGATAGTGAAATTGAGATAAGCCCATTACTTATACTTTCGTCGTAAAAAGAGATATATGACTTCGATTGAATAATGCACTACTTTTTACACACTCGCCGCAACGAACGACTCTGCGAGGAGAGGAGAAAAGAGGGGACGAATGCTAACAGCAACGGAATTAAAAATATTCGGCCACGGCCAATCCACATCAATCGACATGAAGCACGCGATCGCGAGAGGCACGCGTTTGATATTTAATATTAATTGACGCCAAAGAAAAATCCAAGCTCTATTAAGGTAATCGCGTTAGCGCGAGCGTGACTGCAGTATTTTCCTCACGGTGAAATTAATCGCGCTTGTAAAATCGTGAAGAGAGATGAGATCATTATCTGCTTAATAGTCATCGTCGTCGAATCGTTAAAAAATGTTTATTACCAATTTATCATCGGCGCGCGGAGACATCGCGTTGCGGTGGCAGATTTACTGTCACGATTATCCGCACTGACCTTAAATTCTTTTCCTGTTACTTAATCCTCCCGCGCCTAGACTTTATGACTTTTGCGAGTTCCGCGAGCCGACACTTCGGCGAAGCGCTCCAAAGGAGAGATTCTCAACGTGAGCAGTAAAGGCGTTATCGTGACGGTTGATCGAGTGAACAAAGCGCGAACGCGGCGTTACATCACGAAATCGGTCGTCACGCTGAAGTCGATGTTATAAATCCGCGAAGAGTTGGTCATACACTGAGAAAATAATACTTGAACATTTATTTGTTGGATAATAAATAAAGTTTCTTTCTGCGAAATAAAATTTACTTCTGTGAAATAAAGTTTATTTCTGTGAAAAAAATAAGCTTAATATCTCACATGAATAAATTTTTACATATCTCTTTCTCACACTGAGAAAAAAACACTTGAACATTTATTTGTAGGACAAAAATTTATTTCACAGAAACAAATTTTATTTCTCAGAAATATATTTTATATCACGGAAATAAATTTTGTATCATACAAATAAATTTCCAAGTGTCTTTTCCTCAGTGCAGTGCAATGATGCATAAATAATCCAACATACAAAATAGCGATTTTTTAATTTTTCTTACCAATAGGAAATCGTCTATACGTCTTTCTACATAAAACAAAAAAGATCCAAGCCTACAGATGTCTACTAGTTAGGACTTTTTTATCTTTTTTCTTAAGAGTTACGCTTGTCGTTAAATAAAGAGAAAAAATTTGCCATGTTTGACCACTTGAACGATTACAAAGAATTTCGTCTGTCTATACTTTTTGAATCATCTATCAAATTCATCTATCATGTTCGTTTTTCTTAGAAAACGTACTTCATGTATTTGATGTAAGTTGGATGATTCTTACGTAACTACGGCCAATTTAAACGCGCCTAGTCAAAAGTAATCGATTGTATCCTTGGAGATCGAGAAGATGCGGCGGTCAATTCCGTCAGATATTATTGATCGATCTATTGCGCGTCGACACGACGAGATAGAATCTTGATTGAACTCGATGGCCGCGCGGACGAGGATGCACCCGCGGCGAATATAACTTAACATCGATGTGTATCGCCACGAGACCACAAGATACACACCAGGAGTCGGCTGAGAGCACAACGCGAAACGGGTTACTGCGTCGCAATGCGGAGAGGTATCGCGATCTCTCAGTTAACCGCCATCGGCTAAGTTTCCAGATGCATAAACATCAGATGAACATTAGCCTTTTCGTGTCGGCTTCCTCGTTTGACGCTCGCGTCGTTGCACAAGTGTTTATACGGGCCGCGCTAATGGCTGACCGCTATTCAACCTGGGTCTCTAAGGCCCAGGTATTAATAGTCGTTACTTGAAACTTGCCTCACGTGAGACACTCAGATCTGAATTCAGTGTTGGATGTGAATTTTCCTGTTGAATCGCGATTACAAATGTCGCACCCATTATGTAATTCGAATAAAACACTCAAACCTAACTCTAAATTTATATCTGAGCGTCTCACGTGAGAGATAAGCTCTGAGTGGCCGCTATTAATAGCCTAAGACGCGATTTGCACGACGCGGGCGCGCTAATTCGTCGACACGAGGATTCCAGAATGAGTGATTGGAAGCGAGACGCGCATTCGTCCCGAGTGCCGACGCCACGATTGACGTTTTTATTGCTAATTATCGCGGATTACTGCGCATTATCGCAAAATGTGTCGATAATTTCGGGTTTATAATGTTATACTAATTATAATTCCGACGTGTGTCGCGACGCTCCGTGTGCATCGTCAGACCGACGTGTGCCGCGCGACAGGGAATGCCGCACAGCAGTCGGCGGTAACCTACTGCGCGCCGCAGTAGTGATACCGTTTCGAGTCAGACGCGCGACAGGGGATCGCGGTAGTGTCGGCGTTTACCAGGTCAGACGCCGCGCCTCGAATCAACCGAGCTCAGCCAAGCCGCTTTCTGCGGCGCTCACGATTTCACGTTAATCCCGCGAAGCTGCGATTCGTATAATCACCGTTTATAATCACCGTTTCAGGTGCGAAAGATTTGTCACTTCTCTATGAAATTGCCGTGGGAAGTTTGGGCATCGCAAGGAAAATAAGAGGTTCTCGATAAAGACAAAAATGCCGAGTCGATGTAGTTTTTTAGTTGCACGAAATTATTGATCCCTTGCGATTGCATAACTTCGTTCTGCACTTTATTTTATTTGTGAGGACTTACTTTCATTGGAACTTACTTAGAATCGTGACGGTAATTGAACTCTCTAAACACGATAATTACTACTTCACTTCGTATGACACGTAATGATACTCTGTGAATAAAACGATATTACGAGTTAAAACGCGATATAATAATGAGAAGATTTTACCATCCGGAAACATTACGACATGCAACACCGCGGTTGTTTCGAAATTTTCTCAGGAGATGAATCTCCGCTGTCTCGAGCTACGTATGGACATCTATCTCGATACGTGGAACGTTCGGTAACAGTTGCGTTTAATGAGCAGAACGTGACATTCAGGGTCAGATAGAAACGATTATTTGCGCGCGAAAAGCTTTACTCGAACGGCGTCGCGTTTCATGACGCTTCGAGTCTCGAAATTGAGGCTCGTATTGATAATTATTACTTGAAACTTGTCTCAAGTGAGATTCACTCAGGTATGAATTAAGAGTTAGTCGAGAGCTTTTCAGTTGAATCGCATGATACGTGATACATGTGACATTAATATCTATAGTCATGATTGAACTTGTGTGTGAAAAACTTGGATTTAACTTTGAGTAAATATCTGGGTATTTCACATGAGACAAGATTCAAGTGACAACTATTAATACGAGTTTGAGGTCCGTATTGATAGTTATTACATGAAACTTATCTCAAGTAAGATACTCAAATGTGAATTATGAGTTAGATGAGAGTTTACCGATTAAATAGTGATTACAAGTGTATAAATGTCACATATATCAATATAATTTAACGTAAGAATTAAGATCTAACGCTGAATAAAAACTGAGCATCTCATGAGCCAAGATTTTAAGTAACTATTAATACAAATCTTAATAGTTATTACTTGGAATTTGTTTCAAATGAGATAACCTAATCTGACTTGACTAATACATATGATAAATGCGATAGTCGTTAATTGAAGTTTGTCTCACGTGAGATACTCAAATTTTCATTCAGAATTAGATCCAAGTTTTTCAGTTAAATTATATAATATATGTGACATTGATCATATCTGCGATCATGATTCTACTGGAAAACTTTCACTTAACTCTGAACTCAGATCTGAGTATCTCACTTGGAATAAGTTTCAAGTAACGATTATTAATTAACGCGGGTCTAAGACTCGCGTTAGTTAATAATTGTGACTTGCAGCTTGTTTCACAGCAGATATACGGAACTGAATGTAGAGTTAGGTCCAAGTTTTTCAGTTAAATCACATGATACAGTGAGACGTTATAAATTCGCGATTCAACAGAAACATTCACGCCTATCTTTCAACTAAAATTTCAGCACTTCACGCGAGACAAGTTTCGAGTAAGGACTATTAATACAGGCCTAAGTAACCGCACTATAACCGACTGTTCAGTTGAAATGTTGCCGCCGTTTTGCCCGAAATCGATCGAAGAATAAGCCGTCGCGTACGAATTGTCGTTCCTTCTCTGTTCCTCTCTGAGAAACTTAATTGCGCGATAATTCAACAACATCATTTTGACACAACTTGAGAATATCGTCGTGGGAGAACAAGCGTCTCGCAACTCTCACGACTGCACTTTATTGCCGCGACGTTACGGTTTCCTGTGTAATTATTCGATATTAGAATTATGCGATCGATAATAATTATTACTTTTCTTTCTCACTTCTTGGTCCTCAGAAAACGTGCTCGTCAATTAATCGCGTACTCGGCCGTTAGTAGATACACATGCCGCGGATAAAATCTCGTGTGTTACGCGGAGGTGACGAATTTTGGGTGTATCCCGACAGCGTCGATCGATATCCTTACCGAGCGGATCCTCCGGGACACCCTACTTACCCTCGCTCTCGCCTCGCCCCGCACTCTACCCACCGACATAGTCCCGGAGAATTCTCTCTCTCTCTCTCCCTCTCTATCTGTCTCTTTCTCTCTTCTCTCTATCTCCTTTCTCTCTCTCTCTCTATCTCTATCTCCTCTCTCTCTCTCTCTCTCTCTCTCTCTCTGTCTGTCTCTCTCCCCTGGCATACTATATACCGAATAATCGAGAAGTGTCACTTACAACAACGTAACTCACAGAGTGTCCGGACACGCGCACAGGGACCGCCGTGCGAAATACACGCGAAATTCACACCGACCGACCCAGGCTACGATTACGGGGTTTATCTACGGGCAACGCTTGCGAAACACGGACAACCGGATCCGCGCCCGGGGTTCCTTCCGGCTTCCTTAACGCGCGCGCGTCTCCCCCGGCCCCCCGAGTTTTTCCTCTTAATTAACGCTTACCAATGACGTGTACATGCTGCGGCGGTAATCGCTGATGGGCAAGTGTTTATCAAGCCCCGCAGCGCTCGTCGTATATATACCCCTGGAGGCATCACCAACACCACCGCGACGGTTCGATGCACCGATGGCCACCATGTTACGAGGTAGGCACATGGGACACACAGAGCCGCGTGCGGGACAGACAGAGGGGTTCACACGGATTCACGTTTAACGCGTGCTGCCGGCTGCACACGCATATGTGCATGTGTCGTCGAAGAGCACGTACGGGGGAAAAGAGACAACGCAGTCTGCAACGACGTTGGGAACGAGAAACGGAGAGAGACAAAGAGAGAGAGAGAAAAACAAGAGAGAGAAGACTACCTTACCTGAGATCACCATGTCACATAGCGTTAAATGTCATCGGATCCGCGTTAGAGGACGCTTACTCAATTGTCATAATTTTCTTAACGATCCGCTTTTTTTTTGGAACGGGTCCCGCAATTTCTCGAATCGCGCGAGCCGGCTTTTCCGTGCGACGAGCTCGCCGTCATGTTTGGGCATCCTTCTTTACTAACATTCTTTTTTTATATGATGTTAATACACATCTAAGAGAGAAAACATATCTGAGGAATAACAAAAATATTCGTTCATTGGATATTCTCTAATAACATATTAGTTTAAATCTAAATTCTTTTATTTAAGCAAAATGAACAATCACTTTCGTAAAAGAACCAAGATTTTAAGAAAATATATATTTTCTTATTTGAAACATATTTTATATCAGTATAAGTAAATATGTTATTAGCATCTACCGAATAAATATTTGTTATTCCTTACATGTTTTTTTCTCAGTGTTCATATAGTTTTATGTAGACTTATTCCACCAACTTAATATAAACTTATGCATGTATGCCGTATGATGTGGGTGAAATATAATCATTTTAGAAAAATGCAGGACTTATTAGCTGCCTCTTTAATACAAGCTCACGTTTCTCCTAATATTTTCTGTTACGAAATTGCGAACTTCGCGCGGGATAAAATTCTCTAATATAAAAGATACGTTTATAGAGATTCGGGAAAACTGGCCGGGTAAAAAAAGTAATGACTCTGCTCGTGGCATTCGTCATGTTTCCCAGTCGCTCTTGGAGCGTTCTCGCTGTCGAATCAAAAGATCGAGAGCGCAAACTGAGCCTGGCATGCTGTAGGCAGGTCCGTTTGCGATTGTCGTGTGAATTTGTGTTATGGATTTTCGGTGAAAAAGCCGTGTCTTTCGACACTGTAGAGTGACGCGTGCGCGCGACGCGTACAGAGAGGATGTAACGCAATCCCGTGTACTCTCCCGTTATATTCGATGCTCATTGTTAAAACATTTCCTCCATTCCTTCAAATTTATTTTTTCAACCGGATCATGCCGACGGTACGGTTATTTTCTGGACAGTGAAATTGAGTTATTTTTTCCATTATCTTCCAGCCGTTAAACATCGCACACGCAACAGACACACGCTGCGTTCGCGCTGTGTTTCCTCCCACCGCACTCGTATAATAAATATTACGTAACGTTACTCGCTGACTACTCTGCCAGCGAGCGTTTCGCGAGTCTAACGTGATAAATCACGTCGTTGTTAAACAATCAATCAGTCGGCCGCTCGTCCAATGGCCAATTGTCTCGATTTTTCTAATCGCGAAATCGAAATTTGTCGCGTCCCCCTGCCCGCCCGGCCGGCCAGCGATTTGCACACGGCGAGATCAAACGCTCCGCTCACCGCCATACAAACGCACGCGACACACGCTGCCGCATTGTCCATTCTAATCAATTGGAAGCGACCGGACAATCCCTCATTATCAGCCGATAATTATGTGTACGCGCGCGCACCTACTGCAGCGCGCCGGTTATTTACTTACGACGGAATTTTTCGCCGCGCCGCAAATAATGAACGTAAGCGTGCGCTTTGCCTCGCGAGATTGCACTACGGACAGTTGGTGAGAAGAATTAGACAGCTGCGAATTTTTTGTTTTGCGCGTACAATCCATCCGCATGGATGGAGGGAGAAAGTGTCACGTTTGGACTTCTCACGGGCTGTCAGCACGTCTGATTATAGGATGGCGTCGGGCATTAATGGATGCAAATGTTGTTGACTAAAGTAATCGATAAATTAATAATCCAAAATTAATTAATCGTTATATCGTAACTTCATTATATATGAAGTAACATTGACAAAATTTAATAATTCACTTATTAATCAGTGTACACATTGAAAGAAAATATGGTTGATCTACAATTATAGTTGTTTCTAGCTCTAATGATATTTTTTTGTTGTTCCACACAAACACGAAAATGATAGCAACAACATGCATATAAAGTTATTATCAGTAATATTATAATAGTAGGATTCAGTAAACGAATACTTTTCTTGACCATAATTTTGAGTAATTACTTCTCTATGTGATTGTAGTTACAAATACCAAACATTTTTTCTCAGTGTAGTCAATCACGTCGAAGTTTGATTAACAATTAATTTTATGAATCGATAAGATTACTTGTGATTTTATATATAACGAGTTTGATTAATCTTGATTACTTTAGTCGAAGGAAATCTTAATCGATTATTACCCGGCACTATTACCGCAGAAAGGATGTTTTTCGCATGCGAGCTGTTTTTTTCTTTAAAGAAGAAAAAAAGAAGAAAGAGAAAAATAATTTTCATTTTCATTATGAAACTTTTTCACGACTCCTAGATTCTGTGGAAATTATAAGAAACGGCAATTGCCGCGTATCGCGATGTTAATCTCTTTTCTTATTACGCAATGACACGCGAGCGTTCGCGCGCACGATCGATAGAGCTTGTGCATAGTTGATATAAAGCGATGCATGTGCCGGAAGCTGCAGAATTATACATGTACGTAACATGCGTGTCTAATTAATAATCAATGCTATTCCAGCGGGATGTTTGAGATTGTCAGTAAATATCGCCGATCAGCTATGTTAATGTCTCCGCAGAAGCCAAGTGGGTTATGTTTGTCTTGCAAATTCTGTGCTACATTTCATAAGAGCGCGAATACGCGCGACGACGACGGCGTGTCGTCCTTTACGACCGATCGCGATGCGACGGGCAATTTAATGAAATGCCTCGATTGTCGCAACATATGGAATTGTGAGATGCCAGGCAAATCACACAATTATTGGCAACCTCTGTTAATTATTGGCACTCGAGAGGAATCTGGTTTTTCGTACGATCAGCATTGCACACGGACGAAATAACAATTCCGTTGGTGTAACTAAATTTTCCGTTGCCTCGTGAGAATTTGAGTATTAATACTAATTAATAGTCTAATTAGTATTAATACTAATTAATAGTAATTATAACTCAAATTATAGTAATTATAGTAATTAATAAGTAATAAAAATATTACAGCAATATAATAATTACAATGTTGTAATGGAAATTAAAATTATTCTATAATAATAATAATTAAAAATTATTCCTTCCACCAGATAAAAAACTCAGTTGTAAGAACACACAAGGATTGTAGCACACAAAGAAATGCACATTGCATTCAAATAATATGTTTCAAGTATTTCATAAGTTTATATATCCGCAGATCTAAGCTCATTACGCACATAAGTATCCAATTGATTCAGAATGTACACACACATACACGCACGCACATCCCGAATCCTAATTGACTATTATTAAGTTTAGAAAAACTATTATAAGAAACTATTCTTTGTTGGAGAATAACCATTTACTTCAAAGAACGAAAGTAAGTTGAGCAATCTCTTTTCTTAGGAATAGAGAGATATCTTTCTCTGTGTGTAGGAAATTTTCACTCAATATATATTTTTCAATTATTGCAAACGAGTTTTAATGCATCTGAATGTTCAGATAAATGTTTTCTCTTGCGACGACAGGACATTAAGCGATTAAAATTGTCATTGATTAAAGTGATCGGCAAACCAAAATCAATCAGTTGTCATATATGTAATCACGAATAATTTAATAGTTTAACGAATAATAATAGTAATAGTATGACGAATAATTTAATAGTTTCATGAAATTACAATTGTTAGTGTAAAATCAATTAAATCAAAGTTCGATTAACAATTCATTTCGCCAGTCGATTAAGTTATTATTTTATATCGCTGAATTTTCATCTGGTCCCTTCATTCATAATTTCACTAAGGTTTTTTTCCGCAATTAAAAGAATCTCGTATCTTCACAATTAAAATTGCGAGCAAATGTCGCTAGTTGCAAGAAAAACCAGATTTTTCTACACTCAAAAAATACTTGAAAACTTACTATTAAAAACTTACTATTAAAAATTTGAATATTTGAAAATTTATTTGTTGGATATAACGTTTATTTCTGCAAAATAAAGTTCACATTCCTGTGAAATAAATTTTATTCCTATAAAAATAAACTGTATCTTAATTTTCAAGTATTTTTCGCTCAGTGTAGAGCATCCAAGACCGAAGGGGATGTCGGTGGTTTACCATGCATGCAACACTCTCGATACCGCACTCGGTAATCAAGAATTCGTCAATTGGATCTTTGTCGAGATCGATCGCATTAATTACTTAGCAATTCGACGTTGTCGTGATTCGTTTTTTATTTTCTTTTTCACGCGTCCAGCGAAGGTCGTTCGTCTTCTTCTTCGTCCTGTCCGTATGATCATCGATCGTGGACATTATCGGCGAAGTACACCCAATGTGACATTAGAGACAGAATCTGACGAACGAGCCGGCGAACGGTGAATTATGCCGCGATAGGCGTCAGTTCGCCTCTTTTACGGGAAATGTAAGGGGCACGTAGCACGACAATAAATTCTCACGTGTCTCTAGGAATGCCAGCTGCTCGCCGCGCAAGCGCGCGCGCGCGTTGCAACGTCGTGTAACCGGCGTGATTCACAAAGTCACGTCATCGATATATCTGAGCGATTTTCTCAAGAGCGCATTTGCATCCATCGAGAGTTGCTTTGGAATGTGCGAAGTGCCGCATGGTTGATTTAAAATAATCCGTCAATCGGAACTAGGAAGAAAAGCGCAGAGTGTTTCTATTTATATATTTTCTCTCTCTTTCTCTCTCTCTCTCTTTCTCTCTTTCTCTCTTTCTCTCTCTCTCCCTCTCTCTCTCTCTCTCTCTCTCTCTTTCTCTCGAGGACACTCTCGACATA